CGGTAGTGATAAGCTTTTAGGGAGGAGCACATCAGTAGTGGTGTAAGCATCCATTTAGACTGCAGTTGGGGCAGGCCCCGTGGCTGAGTGGTTAAGTTTGTGCGCTCTGCTGCAGGTGGCCCAGTGTTTCGTTGGTTCAAATCCTGGGCGGGGACATGGCACCGCTCATTGAGCCACACTGAGGCAGTGTTCCACATGCCACAACTGGAAGGACCCACAACTAAGAAGATACAACCATGTACTGGGGGGTTTTGGGGAGAAAAAGGAAAAAAATAAAATCTTAAAAAAAAAAAAAAAAGACTGCACTCAATGACAATGGTTTGCCCTATGCTTGCTTATCACTGAACTGTTAGCTTTATCTCAGCAGTGACAGCAGGTTCAAAGGGCACATACCACTGGGATACAGGCCTTATCACTTCTCTTAATGGCCACCTGACAACTTCTGTAGTTTGCAAGCTGAATGCAATTTACGACATTTCAGAAAAATAGTTGCCTTAAGAGCGAAGAAGCATACTTTCCTGTTCTCATTTCAAGGGCTGGTATATTTTCAGAAGCAGAAACACACCAAGAGAAAAATGATAACAATCACTCTGGTCCCAATTTTGCCAAATACACGTTACTCACACTATTTCTATGTAAATCACATAACTACTATGACATATATAATCTAAGCATCACATCAATGCACAATACTCCTAACTATTCAAGTTTCAGCAGCGCTGTGTTTGGAGTTCTGTGATCCATGGCAAATGGAAAGGAGCTAGGAGTCACAGTCCCTCCGGAGACAGGAGGCTGCATTTCAGTGATGGAAGGTTAACTAGGGCTTACTCTGATAGGATCAGTCACTGAGCAGGAAACTCAGTTTGGGATCTCATTACCAAAGTGCCCACCCTCGCCCTTAATGGATCCCAGCCTGTATTGTTGTTAGAGGAGCAGAAAGTCACCTAAACAATTATTTTAAAGGTAGAACACTGAAGGAAATAATTCAAGGAAAAAAGAAACACTGCATATACAAGCTAATGAAATGCAACTAAAAATATGTGATTATTAATAGAGTAAGAAAAATTCTCTACTTTATCACACCCCTCCTACCACTATTGTCAACAATCTCTATGTTAAAAACACCAAATCTGTTTTTAAAATTAAGTTTAAAAATATTCTCAACATTTTCATATTATCTACGGACTTGAGAAAGAGGCCAATGAAACACAATAAAGCAGACAAAAAAACAAGATAAAAGATTTCAAAACAATCTTCCTGTTAACATTACAACCTTGTTAAATACCTTTCACTTTGTCCATTCTCTGTTACAAGAAAATAGTTGTGGAAAAGGGAATCTTCTCCAGGATAAGATATATTCTTTTTTCCCTTTGTTTACTCTAGGATTCTCAATAGTGACAGAACGGCTCCCTAAAGGGGGATGTGTAGAGTCATTTTTCAGGAATATGTGTGAGCCTTTTATTGTCGCCACGATTAGGATTATTTCAGGCCATCAGTGGCTGGAGGCCGGGATGCCCAGCATTTGCCATCTACTGGACATTGTCATCCCACAAGGAACTGTCCACCACCCCACATGAATTACGGATATCTCATGAGACTAATCACATTACATATATGTCAATAATACTTTCATCATAATACTAGTATTAAAGAGTTTTTACAAGAAGTTATACAAAAATGTCCCAGGAATTACAGGAGGGGACATAATGGGGAGGGAAGCATAAACAGAATAAAGGCATTACATCAAAATTATTGAATAATTAACTCATCCTGTATAGCAGCACATTTAACAAACACCAGTGTATCCTTCACCCAGATTTAACAAACATTATTAATATTTTGCAAGAATTGCTTCAGAAATTTTTAAAATCAAGATAATATATTATCAATAGAATGGAAGGCCCTCTTGTACCACTCCTTAATTCAAATTCTTTTTTAAATATGTTTTGTACTTTCTATAACTTTCGTAAGAATGCTTTCCTTATGGAAACTATAAATATGACATTCCATATTTAGGTCTTCCAGTCAATCTAGAATTTATTTTTACGTATGGTGTGAGATTAGCTGTGATCCCCACCTCCCCTCCGTAGTTATCCAACTGTACCAGGGTATTTATTCAATAATCTTTCTTTTCTAATTGATTTATAGAGTCATCTCTGTCATACACCAAATTCTTTATATGGGTGAGTCTGTTTGTGTTTTCTCTTCTGTTTTACTAGATGATATGACTATCACTGTATTAATTTTCTTTGGTTAATATTTGCCTGACATACATTTTTTATCTCCTTTTTGACCCATATCCTTAAATTTTTGCTCATCTCTTATAAATAGCATATAGATGGACTTTTTAAAAATCTGAAAATTTCCTTTATTGGGATATCTAATTAGCTTACATTCTTTCTATGTTTTTATACAGGATTGGTTGACTGTTCTTTGTTCTACACATCCCCCTTCTATTGTTTTAGAAGTTACACGCTCTCTTTCTATTATTTTAGTGATTATCATTACATTTTAATCACTTTAATATGCATTCTTGTACTTCTGCATTTCTTGTGAACGGAGACACTGACTGCCCTTTGTTTGAGATTATATTTTCAAATACATTTGCATATAAACAGCCTTGGAAAAGAGAGATAGAATCTCCCTTTCAGCAAAGGACAGGTTTTCTTAAAACCTTGGAAGAAAAAAGATAGTCTCTCTCTCTCACCAGAGCAAAGAGAAGGCACGCCTACTGTCCCATATAGTGTCCACTATACTGTCCATTATAGAGTTCTTCTCCTATAATGCCATCCACCATATATGCAGGTGTCCTCTGGACCCTACACTATCTCTATAGGATTAGGAGCCCAGGGAAACACCACCAATGTGCTAATGTTCATGCTGCATGCTGTGTGGTGTGAGTGATGAAGTCCTCTGTCTCTGACCCAGGAGTCTTGGGTTTTCTGCCAGGATCCGTGAAACAGTTACAGGCTCAGTTATTACCTTTTACGTAGGGTGAAATCCCAGATCTGCAAAGGTCCCTGACTTGATGTCTAACTATAACGAGTGTATTTATTTTCCCCTTGCATAACACAGAAACATTAGCGTTCCACCTCCTCTTACCGTTCATGTTATTGTTACGGAGAATTTTATTTCCATATTTAATTAGACTTACAAACTTGTGAGGATTAGAGGCATGGTTTATTTAAAGAGGGAGGAGCAGTACTTGGCACAGTCAGCACTCAACACATGTTCACATTAATAAGTTTAAACAGCACTTTTTGCTCACCACTCCTCATACCACACTCAGAGTTCCATTGTTCTGATTATCTAAAGCAGAGAGAAATTATTTTTCCTTTTGTGATTCCTTTCTTAGTACCATCTATGTTCATGAATATATCTAGGATTTTATCAGACTGCCTTCAGAATTCCACCATAATTTTCTACATAAATGCTTCCTGTCAACCTGTAACACTGACTGAACCAATGTAGTTTCCTGTTCAGAACTGAGCACAATTAGGTGCTTTCAAGAGAATGCTTTGAAAATAATTCTCTCTTCTTTCAGTCTGTATCTTAGTTATTATTTTTTCCCTCAAAACTCTAACATAATTACCAACTCAGCAGTCAGCTCTTCTACAACATCTTCAACTCTAGTCAGAAGACGTCACCTAGTTGTTTCGTATTATATCTCACATTCGTAATGTGAAACAAGAAAGGATGGCTTATATAAAAACGAATACTTACTATGATACTATATATACTGGTTAAGATTTTTACAAGATTTTTCATCTCTATCCATAATTATAGGGCTTGTCCTTACTTTATTTCTGTTTGTTGTACAGTCTGCGTATGTTCTTTTAGGAGCCCTCATTGAATTAGCCATGTACTAAAATGAAAGGTATTTCTCCGCCAGCCTAGAAGCAAATGACACCGTATATGTGAAGGATGGCTACTTCAGGCCTGAAGCCACATCACAGAGATCACAGCAGCCTCTGCTCAGTACATAGAGCAGTGGACTCAGGGTAAGTACACCACATTTTAGTCTCTACCCTCCAAATGGAAGATGAACTAGACCGGGGCAGAGGGTTGTCAAATTACGTAAGTTAAAGTTGTGGTTCTGTGACTAGTTTTGTTACCTCCCGGAACACTAAATTTCTTATCTATTAAATGCTGAAATTATCTGCTTATATGCCTTACAGATTTATTTTGAGAATCCAATGAAATAATATTTATGAAAGTATTTTTAAACTTCAAAGCACTCTGCAAGTATTTATACTATAAGTGTTATTGTTAACACTGTAAAAGCATTAGTTGAGTGATAACATAAACATTTTCACCCTTAATCTTACCATCAATATACTGGTCTCTGGATATAAGCCTTAAGAGGAAAGCCATGATCAGAAAACAAAGAAGGTTAAGATGGAATAAGGAGATCTCTATCTCAAAAAGTGTTCTGTGAGGTTTAAAAAAACCTATGATCCTGGACTCCAACTGCCTTTAACAGGAGGTCTGATCCATGTCACACACCGCAGATAAGAAACAGGCTGTGCTACACCTGGCTAACCTTTGAGTCAGCTCTGACTTTTGGTTTGACGTGGACTACGAAGAAGCTAAGGGAGTAAGCTGCAATCTGGCAAGGCTTCCAAGGTAATACATCAAGCAAAGCAGAAGCAGCTACTTAAGAACTCACTGAAGTTCTAGTTTCTTACTTCTTGAAAAGAAGCCCTGAGTATCATTAAATCCAAATGAAAACGCTTCACAGCACAGTTTAATACAATGCTCATACTGAGTTTTCAAAACAATTTGACAGTATCAAGAAACATAATATACTTTCCCTTTACTTAAGGCTGAGAATATGGAAGGAACCACACAAACCTGATGACAGGCTACAACTAGCAGCAGGAACTTGTTTAGATATATGGACTTCTATGACAACAAAACTTTAAAAACAGTATTCTCTCGTGCTGCCAATTCCTGCTTTACTGTTTACCTCCTGTTCTATCAGTGCACCTTGTACTTACATCCGGAATAAACCCAATCTCATTGAGATGATTGCTCAGCTCTGGATCATGGAACGCAATCATCTGAGAGAACACAGCCAGATACTCTGAAATGACAACAGAGTTTAAGGCAATCATCGTCTTTATACAGTACTTCAAATAAAGACAGTAAATTCACAAAAATGACAGTTTTACTTCTATTTTGAATGAAATTTAATTTCTCCATGAAGAAAACATACTTTAATAGATAATTTTCTGTTTTGTTACCACTTTAATCACTTACTGATATTGATGAGGATTATTTTGGGCTGGTTACTTTTAAAAACTGCAGACAGGAAAGAAACTCTGAAAAGTAGAATTTACTTACCCTTTGTTAAGAGATATTTACATTTGTAAAGGAAATCTCCATCTGTAAAGGTGTCTCCCGCTCTGTGCCAGGAAGAAGGGGGGATGACCTTATCTCTAGAAACTCTTAATGGGGAAGGCAAGGACTTAAATCTGCATAATAATCTTATTCTTATTTACTGTATTTGTCTGGTAACCTCATGTAACTGATTCCTCCCACCACCAACATCCCCTTTTGTCTTTAGCTGAAGATGACATTTGAGGTGGTAGCTTTAGCCATTTTGGCGAGTTGCTCAGGTTGCCTGAGCCTCTCCCATGTATACATGTTATAAAGCTTTGTTTAATTTTCTCTTGTTATTCTGTCTCATGTGAATTTAATTCATTCTGCGGCCAGAAGAACCCAGAGCGGGTAGAGGAAATGTCTTCCTCCCCTACAGTTTGGTGACTTGGATGGGATAAAATTCCACTGGCTGTGATGAGGATCAAGGCTGCCCCAGGGAGAGAAGCCCAAGGTGACCTGCCCAACATACCGATCTATATCATCCTCCGAAGCACAGCACATCCTGACTTGATCCAAGGTGACCTGTCTTACATACCGATCTATATCATCCTCCGAAGCATAGCACATCCTGACTTGACCCAAGGTGACCTGTCTTACATACCGATCTATATCATCCTCCGAAGCACAGCACATCCTGACTTGATCCAAGGTGACCTGTCTTACATACCGATCTATATCATCCTCCGAAGCATAGCACATCCTGACTTGATCCAAGGTGACCTGTCTTACATACCGATCTATATCATCCTCCGAAGCACAGCACATCCTGACTTGATCCAAGGTGACCTGTCTTACATACCGATCTATATCATCCTCCGAAGCACAGCACATCCTGACTTGATCCGATCTGATTCTTATCTAAAGTTATAGGACTACCTAATAATCAGACCCCACCTGCACTGATACCATTTTAACGACTTTTTCTTTACATAATCTTTCCTTTGTCTTGTAACTCACATACCTATGCCTTAAATTTAGCCCTACCCTCAACCCATGTTTGCAGTTTTTTACTGCCCATGGGTCCTGTTCCCATGCTATTCCATACTATTCTCTGAATAAAAGAGCACTACTGCCAGACCTTGAGAATCCAAGAAATCTTTCTTTTGACTCCTTGACTCACCGAGCCTGCATCAATACTATTAAACAAACATAGCAAAAAGCTATGCCACAACTTATTTTCTACCTTCAGAGCTATCAGTTCATTTCTTGAATCACAAATTGTACACATGACGAATGATGTCTTCCTATTAAATTCAACAAATACACTTTCTCTAGCAATATTAAATGTCTCACATTTACCGTATATTCAGAAAGTGTAACAGATATTTAATAAGGAACAACACTTCGTAAGCTGTTGCAAATGGGATAATTATGCCTCAAATTTGTTTATATATACAGATGTAGGCATCTGTTCCAGTTCCACTCATTTCCATCTAAGACTCTGCATGTGGCACATTTAGGAATAACGTCTGAAATTTACATAATATTATAAATCAATGTTACCTAAATAAAAAAAGAAAACAGGTAACAGTAGGCAATTAAACATATCTGCTGTTGACACTAATCCTATTCTAATTCAGAGGGTTCAGCTGGAATATGAGGAATACTTCCTTATTTTTTCCATTCTTTCAACAAATTACTATTCTTGCCCATTTACTTACTATGTACTAATCTAAACAAGACACTGGCAACAATCAACTCAAGGGAAAGTAACCATCATATTTTATTAATTAGAAACAAATTAACACATATTTCAAAGAGCTCAACTTATTTATTTTTTGAGATTGACATAACAATAACTCAATGAATGTTTTTCCTCAATTAATAACTTCAACTCTTCCCTTTAATAAAGTAACAGATCTATTTTTCAAACCAATTATTTGGTGAAAATAATCTCTAAAAATAATGTCTGCCTTTCTTTTCTAGTTTTTAAAAGTTCTTTTATTTTTAATATTTGAAGAAATAGGACTAAATCCTTGACAATCTGTTAGTATAAGTAGCCTTCCCTCATTTTCCTCAATTAAAACTTTGCTTTTAACGACCACAATGTATTATATAATTGTTTACCTATGTGCAATGCTACATATTTTACAAAGAGAAGCACCAAGGCCAAAAAGAAAAGTGGAGGTGGTGCTGTATTGAATACCATGATAAAGCTGAATTCCAGAGCTAATGTGAACCTTACCCATGGGTACTGGATAAAGAATGGGATGTGATTAATACTTTTCTTGATCTGAAAATCAAGAAAATTGATTTTCTTTATTTTACTGCAACAGAATCCATTCTATCTATCCACTGTCTCATCTTTTCCTCTAAGAACAAGAAAGGTACAATTAACATCAGCTTCAAGAGTTATAGATTAAAGTGGAGACCCAGGACAGACCCCATGGCCCCAGGGAACTTCCACGTTTAACTTTTCTTTAACTTCTTTTCTTACTTCCAATTAGTGACAGTATGTTTATAGTCCTAATTTACCCAGGAGCTAGAGTTATGCAACACCAACAATCACAAGCATTCAGCTGTATCTTGATGAAAGCATAGTTATTAACTTCCAAAAAGCTGCTTCATTTCAAACCAGAAAATCATGCTTCAGGTAATGCTCCACAACTATGCTCCTTTATTAAATAGCATTCTTATTTGAGCCTTATAAAAGATAATTACTATGTGAGATAACATGGCTAATTGAGGATATACTAAAGAAACCTAATCCATCATGAAAATATTTTCCTCGTGTTCTGTCAAACATTGATGGCTAGATTTATATGATATACAATATGCATTATAATTGCACATAAATATGAAATCTGTGTAAACACATATATATGTATATGTACAAAATACACACAAATATACATATACATTTTATATATTATTATAGGCTGTATATTATTGCATATATGTTATATAAGTTATAAGGCTGGCATAAATTTGATTGCTCACGACAGGCTTTGGAATGAGACATACTATGGCTTGTTATACTCAGAAAAATTTCTTTAAAGGGGGAATATGATAGAACTGATGAAAAATGCACTATGTCATATTTCAAGTTATTTCAGAAATTCAGCAAATTAAAAAAAAACTGAGGGCCAGCCCAGTGGCACAGTGGTTAAGTGCACATGTTCCACTTCAGTGGCCCAGGGTTCACCAGTTTGGATCCCGGGTGCGGACATAGCACCACTTGGCAAGGCATGCTGTGGCAGGCGTCCCACATATAAAGTGGAAGAAGATGGGAATGGATGTTAGCTCAGGGCCAGTCTTCCTCAGAAAAAAGAGAAGGATTGGCAGATGTTAGCTCAGGGATAAACTTCCTTAAAAAAAAAAAAGAAAGAAAAAAAGAAAAAAAAAAACCCAAAAAACTGAAATGCATATGTCCTTTGATTTGTAAACAAACCTGAGAGACTTTAAGGGTAGCCGCAGAAAAACAGACCAGTAGTCAAAATAAAACAAAGGATTTCACAGATATTACTGCTGACTCTTTTAAAATATTCAGAAAACACTCTAAGTGTGATTTCTAATAATACAGATATACAGGTAGAGCCATATAATAACCCCCAAATAGTATTTTATAACTAATAGGTGACCCATGTAAGGGTAAAGACTATTTAAAAAAAAAAAAAATCAAGGTATTTGTAAAATTTCTCCTTAACCTTCAGGTGAAGTTTAATGTTTCACTACTATACAAATTATGTCTAATAAAAATTTTCTGTGTTTTAATGAAATTTTATACCTCAATTTTTTGCAATGAGATATAAAATGAAAATAAGTTGTCTTTTTCCCTTCTAAACCCTCCCCATATTAAAAATTCTTATTCCTCTCCTTTAAAACAGCTTCTTGTTACATACTTTAAAATGACAATCCACAAAGAATTCAGTGTAAGGATATTACTTGATACTATCATATTTTTGAGCAGCTGTTTAGAAATAAGCTGTTTGTTCAAAAAAAAAAACATAAAATAGATACAGAGATGAAATTTCAAAAAGTCCCACACATGGATATGCTTATTTTTTCCTTCTTGACCAATCTTTCTGATTTCATTCTTTTTGCTGGGGTAAGAAGTAGAGGGTGATGGGCAACAGATTGAAAGCAAAAGGTTTCCTCTGCTCACAAATAAAAAATGGCATTCTCAGTTCTATAATTATTTGTTATTTTCCATCAGGCTGTTAGTTTATCCTGAAGATGATTAAGTATAGATAAATATGCAGAGCCATAAATCTCTTGTCAACTATAATGTGCCCAAGCTAAACCATTTGGTGACATTTTCACTCACAGCACTCAAAAGAAGTTGAAGTTACTTTACTGTGTGAAAATTAATAAACAGAAACCTCATTATAATGCAGTCGGGAGGCCAAAAGGGGGAGCTCTCACACCCTACGTCGATGGTGCCCAAGGGGAGGAAGAAAGACTTGCTCTTCTTGACGGCAAGAAGTTCAGCCCATGAGAAACTGTCACGACTCAGCCAGGGAGTTGGAACACTTTGCCCCCTTTGTTTACAGTAGGCTCCCAACCTCCTCTACCCTCCGTCAGCGCCCCCTCTCCCCTGCTGCTGGGACTCGCACGTGACTCGCCATACTTGCAGACCTCAAACTGCCATTCTTTGCTGATCCTGAATAAACCCATTTTTGCTGGAGAAATAACAGATTGTCTACTTGTTTAAGGTCAACAATTGCAAATGAACCTAATTAGATTATTTCCTATTACAAAGTTTGCAGGCTGTAAAATTTGGCTTACTGTCTAAAGTCACAAGAACAAGCACCAAGCTTTCTGTCTAAATGGGAAGACAGAGGTTCAAAAGAAGAGAAAAAAAGAGAAAGGTAATTTTTAGGGCTACATTGTGAGCCATTTTCTTTTTGATAAAAAGATAAAAAATGTATGAGCAAACTCACTTTGCGCCTCAGGGTAGTTCTTATAACATTTCTAGTAAAGGTAGAACATTTCTGTCTCAGGAAAAATACCCTCAGTCACACAATGCAAGACATTCTTGAAAATGGCAAGGCTATATGCCCAATGCATTTCCTGCTCTCAATATCCTATCATCAAGTCATCCATGACAAAGATGTGCATTAAACTGGAAATAGGCAATGCACTGTTTTTCCAAATACATAACCCTTTATGGTGAAGTTGCACATTACCCCTCGTTGTTACTGTTTGATGAGAAAGGAGATTTATATCACACTCCCATTTTGACAACTGGACTTTAGACTTTGACGTCTGTCTTCCTTTCTCCCTCCCCCTCAAAGACTTATTGAACGTCTATGTGTAGTATGACCACACATCCTACTTTACCTGGCAGAGCCCAGCTGCACCTGTAGACTCAGTGTCTGATGCAGTTAATGTCCCTTTTAACTCTCAAAAACATCACAGTTTAGTTACATATCCACTCCTAGCTGCATGTGGCACACATTAAATGCTAGGGATACAGTGAAGGAGATACCACTCTTGCCCTCAAAGGATTTAGAAACACATATACATAGACAGAAAATTGGGGAAATTTTCACCAAATTTAATTTCCCCGGTTTATACGTATTTTCCTCTCTCTTTCCCTTTCTGACCTGTAGCGATCACATCTTTCAACGGTCCAAGTATGGATTTGCCTTGGTTTTACAAACAGTACAAGAATATGTTTAACGTTGTGGCAAAATTCCAATGGCTGTGTTAGTGACAATCCACAGCAGAATGACATCAAAGAACAGTTTAAGTTTTAGAGGCCAGTTTTCTGGGTTGCTCCTTTCTTAAGTGCAAAGTGACACTAAGGTATAGTTGGGTTTTCCACAAAGGGTTAGTTCCCATTCCTAATAACTAAACGACCGCTTCTCTTCATCGGCCAGATTTTTCTCTTCAATAGCCTAAAGTATGTCTTTCCTACAATTTATAAGCTTGCTTTGCAATATCTCTGAAACTCTAATCAATCTATCCCTTTGAAATCCCTCCATCTTTTTCAATCCAGCTGGTATTCTAAGGTTCTGAATCTCAGAGTAATCTTAGTAATCTCAGATCCGAACCAGCAAACCAGCGAACCAGCGAACCCCCGGGCCACCAAAGTGGAGCGCGCACGTGAACTTGGCCACTAGGCCAAAGGGCTGGCCCCTCTTTCTCTTTTCTTTTCAGCTTCTTTATCTTTTTAATTTACATTTCCTTTCCTGTTTCCTTTCTAATTATTTTCTCATTATATTGACCTCTTATATTCTAGTTTTACACTTATTTCTAAGTAAGTAAAAATATTGCTAATTGGGACCCCACTTGGTCAGAATTTTTGATAAATCAGACACAACCTGTAGTTGTGTCCTGCTTTGTCTATTCAAATTGAGAGAATTATACCAAACCATAATAATATAAGTATAAAGAAGACATATTATCAGCTTTAAGTTGTTTAAAGTTTACTAGAATTAATAAGACATATATGTATAAATAAAAAGTCTAAATGAAGGGGGTATCTGATAAGTTTTATAAAAACGGTAAAAGGGGAGACTGTGTGACCAGCTTTGCAGTCTGTTCTAAAAGAAATACAGAACTATAAGAAAATCTCCTGCCCTTAAAACATTAAAATCTTCTTCAAAAGATACGACATAAAGCAACATGTAATGCCATGATTATTATACTAGCAAAAAACCTGTAATAATGATAGTAATAAAATAGTAATAATAGTAAAAATAACAATAAAATATTAACAATTATTGTTATTGAATTGAATGTTTCTATATGCCAGGTATTTACATATGTTATTATGTTTAACCTTTACAACAATCTTTATTTTAGATATGAGAAAAATTACAACGAGCAAACTATTTGTCCAAGATTCACAATATGTAATGAGGCTTAAATTTGAAACAAAGTTTGTCTGATTCAAAAGTGTTTATTATCAACTTCTGTTACATTACTTTCAAAAAGGAGTTCAGAAAATTATATTGCAAGTTTGAACGTGGCTGAGTACTCCAGAAAGAATTCACAGATGGTTGCCTCTCTTGGACTCTGAAGGAACGGTGTATTTTAGGAAAGCAGGAGAAATGGAGGATATTTTGGGTTCAAGCATGGGGAATGAGATGAAAGAGAAGTGTTTTTAATATCTATTTACTTAGACAAACACTGTTTAACCTTTGTACTAATTCACAATAGGCTTGCTCCATGGTGAAGCTTTTTATGGGCAATTTTAATTGTGAGACAGACAAACAGCTTGACTTGACTTTTCTTAAACTGGGATGCCTGAATTTGAACTGAACTGAGATTAGATATTAAATTCTTTGTGGACTTAGTGGAAAGACTAAACTTAACCATCTCTTCATGGGTTTTAGTGATGGTTTAATCACCCTATCTGATCAGGTGAAAATCATAAATTTAACTGAGTAACAAGCACTTGCCCTGTAAACAGACAAGGAAGGACATTTGCTTACCTTGTATTACATGTGAGTTGTCTTTCAAGAAGAAGTTATACAGGTATTTGGGGATAAAGGCAGACATACACGCATAAGCCAAGGCTAAGAAAGAATACGGCAAAGGGATAAACAAATTAGCTAACGGGTAAACGATCAGCAGTCACTCACTCAGCGCACATTCCTTGAATCTACTATTAAACAAGAGTTATGTTAATAATTAATGGAAACAGAAAATCAAGGGTAGAAAATCCCTCTATCGTTTAAAATAGTATTTTGGACAACAAGAGATAATCACCCCAGCAAGTTTTCAGTTTCAAACCCCTGTGGCAATCATTATCCCACAATAATAAAAATCCTTATTACCAGACTTTATACATTTTTTAAATCTCTAAACATGATCATCATTAATGAGCTATACAAACCTCAAGATCCTTAATTTTTGCTGATACAAACAAAAGAGCGTGAGAACTTTGGATTTAGAAATGCTAGTCATAAATTGTTTTTTCAAACACTGATCCTTTACTATTCCTGGATCAATATGTATGATAATGGACGATGCCTAACTAAATACAGGAAAACTAGTCTAGATTAATGAGTAATGATATCAGAGAACTGTACATTTAAAAACTATTCAAATAAAGAAATTTTAGTTTCTGGTTTACGCTATCTAACCAATTGCAGAAATCTATGCAAATTATGACAAAAAGCAGAATTTGAAAAGATGGAGATTATGAGACTGAGCTTCTAGAGACTCATGCTAGATATGGTGACACTCTCTACAACACGTGATATCATTCGGGATTTGAGTCAATTAAGTTTAACAAATATTTATTGAAAAACATACTATAAAAAGGGCATTATAACAGAGGGACAGAAAACAAAAAATCTTGTCGTTAAAAAAATATGCTAACCAAAAAAACGGGTTATATATTAGCATATAAATAACTATAATGCAAAACATACACAAGATAAAGTTCTGGAAATATTAAGTGCTGTACAGGCTCAGGAGGGAGAATAAGAAAAGTCTTCATTAAGGAAGTAGAGGTTGAAATGACATGCTTTGGAGATGCAAGAGCAATATAGATTTCTTTACAAATTGTTTGGAAAGTATACATAGACTAAAACTAATCTTTAAAGAAGTCAGAATTTTCTCCAATGTTTCACAAAAATGGTCACCAAAGTGGATGAGCACATTTGGTATAAGCAGATTCTCCCCTAAATCTTTAGTCTCTGCCTGGTCACGACTGAAACTCCCCAGCAATCAATTAATCTTTCACGTTCTCTAAAAGGAGTCTAACACATTATTTCATAGAAATTTACAGCATCTATGAGGAAGAAAGCAAGAACCTTACAAGGAAAACAAAAACCTTTCATGTTTGAATAAAATATTTTAGAATAATATGCACAATGATTATTTAAATGACAAACAGGCTTACCTTCATTATTGAAATTTAAATATAGGAATGGAGCACAAAGTGAGTCAAGACCTGATGGGGAGGGGTTGGGAGAAAGAATTCAAATAAATGTAATCCAGTAGAATTGCAGGTATACGTAGATAATACGTGGATTATGTAGATATAGACCTTAAATACCTTCTTATATGCATTACTTCTATATAGATTAAGCATTATCAGGATTACCCACGCAGAAATGTATGACCTCAGGGTTATGGTGAAGAGTAACTGATGGTGACTGGCACATAGCAAATGCCCAGTACAAATCAGCTATTATGATTATCAATATTATTATGAGTTGAAGAGAGAAATACAGTAAGAGAAAAGTGTAAAAATGATAGAAGCCTTAGGATGTAATCGCATCTCTGAGCCTAACTGTGATCTGGGTACTCGCTCCACATCTCCAGGCAAGGTTCCTCATCTCCGAGCCTAACTGTGGGACCTGGGCAATCGCTCCACAACTCCAGGCAGCCTTCCTCATCTCTGAGCCTAACTGTGGGACCTGGGCAATTGCTCCACATCTCCAGGCAGGCTTCCTCATCTCTGAGCCTACCTGTGGGACCTGGGCAATTGCTCCACATCTCCAGGCAGGCTTCCTCATCTCTGAGCCTAACTGTGGGACCTGGGCAATCGCTCCACATCTCCAGGCAGGCTTCCTCATCTCTGAGCCTACCTGTGGGACCTGGGCAATTGCTCCACATCTCCAGGCAGGCTTCCTCATCTCCGAGCCTAACTGTGGGACCTGGGCAATCGCTCCACATCTCCAGGCAGGCTTCCTCATCTCCGAGCCTAACTGTGGGACCTGGGCAACCGCTCCACATCTCCAGGCAGGCTTCCTTGTCTGGGCGATGGGGATTTGTCTTACATGTTTCTCAGGGACAATGAAAGAAAATCTTCTAAAAATTGTAAAGTACAAATATGTGACACACTCCCTTTATTGATAATGCTATTTATATGTTCTCATGTTGAACGAATGTACATAAACCTACCTATAATTTTTAGGAAAATATAGAACTCTTTTTTAAAAAGACAGAGCTACTAGGAAAAATAATGCTTCATTTTAAGTTTGGCTAGAAACAGAGAATTGAAATATAAAAACTACTCTTCATAACAATGAATTCAAAAATAGGACTGGGTGGAATGGGTTTCTCATTCACGAATTTATCAATGACAAAAATAATTATGAGAAAACCTAGAAATCAAGGCTGTGGAGCATTAAAGATATTTAAAAAAGAGAGACAATAAATAAAATGAGTAATTTAAGGTGATATCCTATTCCCCCAACTCCTAATAACCATGATAAGCATATGTTGTGAATCACTAGATGTCAAGAATATCAACTAGCCCCAAATTATTTAAGGTATGAAATTATTTTATTATTTGCATGAGCATTGAAAAAACGTACCCATAAAGATTACAATAGCATGAAATATTCTTTCTACTTTCCTAACAATGTGATGGCAAGTTGTCTCATCGAATATCATATATTTAAATGATATCTACTACGTATTTAGACAAAGTTAAAAAAAAAGTTCTCATATAAACCTCTCAAAAAATGGATCATAGCTTTAGTATTGACTTTTTTCAAAGCCAAGGATATTTTGATTATTTTGTTTTAATTTTTAAAATTGTCAGTCATGTAACATGCTCCTAATACTTCAAAAAGAGTCCTAATAAATTAGGGAAACAAAGTTACCTTGCCAATACACAAGATCAGGATGGGACACCACCCAGGCTTTCAGTACACGTCTAAACTTTGCATGACCTTCTGGTGATGATAAGAGTTCATCATACTGATGACAACGAGGAATATCCACTTCAATCTGTAAAAAAGCAAAATGATAAAATGGAAATGTAATAAAGTGATCTCCAATAAACTCCAAAATAAGGAAAAGCAGAGACTGAATTATGAATTTCAGAATAGGTCACCTACATAATCCTGGTGTCTGAAGTTTTTGAATTTTATATTAATCCTCTGGAAATACCAAAAAAGTTACATGTATACTTAAACAAGGAAAACAGACTATTTCTTTTGAAAAGGTATGTACTAATACATTTTTCAAAAAACTTCCTTTACAACCTGGTCTAAATAAAGGGCAAATTTTCAGATAAAAACTTGCAATTATTAGGCAAAGTTACTTGGCCTACACTCTTTTTTGCTGAGCAAGATTCACCCTGAGCTAACATCTATGCCAATCTTCCTCTATTTTCTTTGAGTGTGTGGGCCACCAGCACCACATGGCTGCTAACAGGGCAGCATAGGTCTGTGCCCGGGAACTGAACCCGGGCCACTGAAGCAGAGCATACTGAACTAGGCCACTGGGGCTGGGCCCTGGCCTACACTCCTTTAAGCAACAGTTCTAGCTCACTAACTTGTGAGTATAAGAGTTATGCTTAGTCTAATACCATATGCACATAAGGGCTGCTGAGTACTCATAAGGACAAGAAGAAAATTCCTCATGTCTTTCTAAAATTTAAAGATTTGGCAAATTGTCTTAGGTTGTTTAAGAAAACCTAAATCATACTTGTCTATCTGTAGGAATTGGAGTATCTTTATCAATTGCATCATACTTCGCATGAATAGCCCCCTGCAAAAAAAAAGATATATAAATTATTAATTAGGCAAAATCTACTTCTTATAAACATCTATCTTTGAAAACAATTAGAGAGAGGCACATTCAAACCCAAAGTATACCTCTTAAGAAAAACTCTTCATCTTTGACAATCTGTGATGAGAGTCTGTGACAACTGGCAGACATATGAATTCTACAAACCAGAAGACAGAGGCATTGATCGAGTCACTCAGCTACCGAGTGTGCTTACTCAGCCTCCACAACACAACAGCCCTGCTCTCTATCCACTGCCATCTCATATGCCGTAAGTTTCATGAAGAAACTTTTAAAAACTTGGGTGGGGTGGGGAGGGCGGTTATCCCATGAGAAATATTCCTGTTAAAGTTGGTAATGAAATAAAAAATAAAAGGAAACTGTTTCAAGGAGTGGTACTTCAGCCCTAGGAGGCAGAAGTTAGGGATAAATTAAAGAGTGAAATGTCAAGTACTTATGGAACCATTAAGGGACTAAATGGATCATTTACATTTTTCAGTTATACCATTACAGAAGGAATAATTGGACAAGCCATCTCAAATTTTGGTCATGTTCTATAGGACCAAGCATGGAACAATTCTTGTTACTCTGGTTTACTGTAATGGTAGAGAAAGAGCCAGGAATTTGGAGGTCAAACTCTGACATTACATGCTGTATCAACTTCTCTGGCACGTCTATTTAACAAGAGATTTGGACAACCTGACCTCGGAAGTCCTCTTGAACTTTAGCACTATATGGTCTACAATTCTAACTATTAATGTATGGTGTGGAACAATAGGCATTCTTGTAAAGCAACCAATCAAACTTTATAGACTCTTATCAAGGTAATCAAGAACTCTTTCAACAGCAAGTTAAAAGGATTGAAAATAGTTGGGGGAATTAAAACACAAAAAATTGGTGGGGGAGATCCATAAGTTATCTGTAAGAGAATATGTGATGGCAGGATGACAGAGAAATTGACAGGAAATGAAAAAATCTGGCAAGGATCTGGCCCGTTATCATGACTGCCGTTACTGAAGTTCTCTGTTAGTATCGCAAGCCACCCTAATACCGCTGTGACACCCCTCCTTCCCTCACTGCCACAGGTACGGTGCTGCAGAAGACAGAGCAGCTGTTTCTCTTGGCTGCACGGTTCTGGGGAGATGGACATGCCAAAAGGCACTAAAATTATGTTAATGATTTTTGACAAGGTTCAAATTGGAGTGGAAGATTTCTTCAAATTTAGACAGAACTCTTTATAAATAGGCAATTCTATCGTATTCCTAAATGAACAGACTTTATTAGCAGGACTAAACACTTATACATATATATTCTCAAAATATTCTGATTTTAAAATTAATAATCAAGATAACTTCTGTGAGTCTCATTAAACAATAAATAGAATAAATCTAACAAACCTTCAATTATATTTTTATATTCTACCTAGTCTATTCTTTTCCTCTATTCCTTTCACTTAAAATTGTCAAATATTCTTAATGCTCACATTTTACTAGATAATTTTCCAACAACTTGAAAAACATATATTCAGAAAGCATTTTCCTTCTTCTTTCTTAGCACTACTGACCAGCTGCTAACCTACTTTTCTTTCTTACCTCAACTCCCAGAAGAGCAGCCCAGGTTAAACCCCTCATTAGAGGAGGAATGTCAACTCTTGCTTCTTTCCAGATCTGATTTTTTTTATATGGATACGCCTAGAGATGAAGAAAGATATGAAAATACCACACATTACCAAGTGCCACCTTTAGTTTAGACAGTTCTGACTACGCCAGTGATAAGGCTAAGGGTGACCTGCAACACAGTTCTGAGTATCTGAAATGACTTTGTCTGGTGTATTAACACACATAAGTCAGCAGTGGAGTGGTTCCTCATCCTCTGTAAACCTCGTACAATACAAAGAGAGGAGCTGATCCTACTGTTTTGAATCATTCTGTTTTGTGCTCTGGGAGAATTACGAAGGAGTCACATGGAGAATAATATTACCCACCTCACATGGGTTAAATAATGTATGTAAAGCACTAAGTAAAATATCTAGTGATACACAAAGTATTCAAAAAAGTTATTATTACGGTTACTTCTATATCCTAGCATATACATTTGTCCTTTTACAAATTTTTTACTTTAGGAGCGATTTCTAGAAGAGAATCATTAGGACAATGGGTATGGATGCTGTTAAAGTTCTTGATATATACTTTCAAAGAGCTTTACAGAATGTTTCAATCAATTTATACTTATTCCAAAAGAATGACTGTTCCAATCTCAATACACCTTTGCTCACTTTGCTAATCAGTGTGCAAAAAAGCCTATTTTAATTTTTTATTCATTCCTAGTGTGGATAAATACTTTGAATAGCTTTACAGACTAGTAACTCTATTATGTTCTTTATCCGTTTCTCTGTTTCAATAACAGTGATTTTCTTGTTGATTTTCAGGTGTTCTTTAAATATCAAGGATATTAATTCTTTTGTCTAACATGATTATGCATGGATTCCTCCATCCTGTTTTTACCTTTTAATTTTATTTACTATGAACATGTATCATTTTTACATTAACGTTAATTAGAAAAGATAGGTCATAAGAATTAGTGTTCTCATGACATCAAGATTCCATAAGAATTACCAATGAAATAAAAAACAAGGATTGTACATGGGCTCCTATAACACACTTTAGAATCCCTACCTTTAGCAGCCTGTCAAAGAGAACAATTCTGTGAAGTTGGTACTCTGTGTCCCTCTCTCGGATGATTAAAGGGAGAGTGGCAGCTGCAGACAACTCATTATTGCTGTTTGAATGAGGCAAGTTAGACTGGCTATAAATGAGAAACAAAAGCATAAAAATTGACAAAAGGGATAAAATTTTAAAAAAACAAAACACTATATTTTTTTTTTTTGAGGAAGACTAGCCCTGAGCTAACATCTGCCAATCCTCCTCTTTTTGCTGAGGAAGACTGGCCCTGAGTTAACATCCGTGCCCATCTTCCTCTATTTTATATGTGGGATGCCTACCACAGCATGGCGTGTCAAGCTGTGCCATGTCCACACCCAGGATTCAAATCAGCGAACCCCGGGCCACCAAAGTGGAATGTCCGCACTTAACTGCTGCGCCACCGGGCCAGCCCCAAAACACTAAATTTTTGTATTCTATGTAGGAAACACTTTTCAAAGAAAATGTACAAGCTTTTTACCAACCTGATATAAACAGAAAAGAAAAATAAGTGTAAAAGGAGATTATATATACTCACTCATCTTCAAGTAACGGGTAAAATGCTTCTCCACCAACATCTTTTAATCTCTGGTAAATTTAAAGAGAAGATATTTGTCATATTTATGATCTGAGACAGCAACACTGATCTGTATTTAAAAGGAAAAATAACGTAAAAGTCTTGAATTTATAAAGATACCAAGAAAAGTATAAAATAGAAACTAAAGTTCATTCTTATCATAAACATGTAAATATACCATGCCTCCTGTGATTAAGCTTAGCTGTGAAGAATAGTTTTTTGATTTTTTTTTTTTACCTCCAACTGTGCCTCATAAATGTGAGACACCTATTATGATAGTTTTCCAAACTCAATTCAGAATTACTAAAACTAATATGAAATTTAATAAATGGCTATTTTTAAATTATATGAAGATTACTTTAAAAGGTACTTTTTAATCCACATCCCTTAATTTAAAGCTCAAGTCAGATTTATTTTTGTTTTGACATTAATAAAAACTAAGATATAAGGAAGGTGCTAATAAAAAGGGTTCAAAAGAATCTCCACATCACACTCTGAACATGCATGATTTAAACAGCTGATAAATCAACTGACACAATTCAAGTCTCTTAATTATCTTTTTCACAAAGTCATTATAAAAAATGTTGCTCCAAATAATGACATTGCCAGGATTATAGGTATTCTTCAAAGACGTAAGAAGGCAGGCAGCAGTAAAGTGGAATCTTAGGCACGTGCTGAGCAGAGTGAGTAAGTTAATGCCGTCCTGCCCTTCGGGCCAGCCTGCAAGCTGCAGGCGGAGCACCTGCCCCGGGAACGACACAGGAGCTTGAGCTGTGTGCAGCCAGCACTGATCTCCTGCGGACTGCAGTCATCGTGCACTGAGCCCTCTGAGCTACTCCTGGAACTTTTAAAGGCGAAAGAAAAATCTACCCAACACTGAGAATCTGGCAAGCACTGGATTTATGCCTGGCTTTTCTCTAAAGATTGACATGCCATGCATTTATCCCATTTTGCCTTTAAACTTTCAGGTATTTCTTTCATGGGTTAAAATTCTAAGTAGAAAAATAAGATTTTCCCAAATTTTACTGCATTATTAATATACACATTTTTTAAAGTTTGGGTTTTACTGTCTTAAAAGTCATAAATATTCTAAGTATCTTCTCTGTTTTTTCCAGTTAAAAACAGACAAGAAAAGACTAAAAAAGTAAGGAAAATGCAGTGACGTGGGACTGAACGCTGCCTTAGGGACAAGGGAGGTGACTGAGCATTGACGGACACTGATCACTGCCCTTAGGATGGCAGCGCACGGAGGGACAAGGGAGGTGAGCGAGCATTGACAGACACTGATCACTGCCCTTAGGATGGCAGTGCACAGAGGGACAAGGGCTTGGCACCTATCAAAGGCAGCCAGGCTGGAGGAGAACCTGCCATCCCAGGAAAAGAAAAAACTGTGTGTGTGTTAGCGGGGTTATCCAACTCCAGCCTCTCTAGTCTTTGATGTGGGGAAGAGCAACACCCAGTTCCAGCTCCCTCCAGCCTTCCTGTCGTACCTGAAGAGGGAGAGAGGGAGAGAGGGAGGGAGGCTGGGAAGCAGTGGGAGGGTCACAGCCCAGAGACAGGCTCACCAGCAGGCTGAGACCTACTCATGGGATTACAGAACACGTCCCGGTCCCTGTGTCAGCAGAGCTCCTGGATAGTAACAGCAGATTCCAGCTGAAAGAGGTGCGGCCTCAGACCCTATTTAGAAAAGAGTATCTAAGAAACCCAAAGATAACAGGGGACACAAGATCAAGGAAATTTTTGCCTCTGACAGAAAAGCTACACAAATAGTAAACAGCCAGATAAACATGACATCTTGCACCAAAGGCCTATTTATCACAGTTCCTTTAATGGCTACATCATGTCAAGTTTTCCACAAGAAATTGCAAGGCATGCTAAAATATGAAAAAGACACTCTGAAGAGACAGAGCAAGCTTCAGAACCATGCTCAGATATGGCAGAGATTTTGGAATTCAGACCAGGAATCTAATATAGCTATGACTAATATGCCAAGGGTTCTCAGGGAAAAAGTGGACAACATGTAAGAACAGGTGGGTAATATCAGCAGAGATGAAAATTCTAAGATAGAAACAAAAGATGTAACCCATGTGTAACAGAAATACCAGAAGGAGGAGAGAGAAAGGAATAGAAGAAACATTTGAAGTAATAAGAATAAATAATAATAAGTAATAATAAGCAATAAGAATAAAAATTAGAAATTTTCAAAATTAAACAGACACCAAATGACAAAGATCCAGGCAGTTCAGAGAACATCAAACAGGATAAATATCAAAAAAAATCTACACCTGGGCATATCATATTCATTAAGAGACATCATCAAAAAGTTAAAGGAAAAGTCACAGACTAGAAGATATATGCACCACAAACAGCCAACAAAGACTCCATATCTGGAATACATTTTTAAAAGTCCTCAAATCAATAAAAAAAAATCACTCAATAGAAAAATTGGCAAAAGATATGAACTAGTAATATATAGAAGAGCTAAGTAAGCTGCCAGAAAATAAGACTCATAATTGCCCTATGATCAGGGAATTAAAAACTAGTATTATAGTAAAATACCATCCCACATCTTTCAGAGCAATAATTTTTAAAAAAATTTGACAATACCATGTGTTATCAAGCATGTGGAGAAATGAGAACCCTTATCCAATAAGGTAGAAAGACAAACTGATAACACCATTTTTCTGAATGACCAGACAACATATGCTAAAGCTGAAGATGTACAGATCCTATTTCCCAACAATGCCACTCCTGGGCACGTACCTTAAAGAAACTCTCACATATTTTATAAGATCAGGGAGGAATTCAAGGCTTCATGTGTACCTGTAAGGTTTTATTAAAAAAAAAAAAAAAGATCTGAAGCAAATTTGCCCAAATACCATTCTTACATTTCTCAGCTGGCATAATGACAATGTCACAGTGGTGTCATCTAATAATGAGCTTCTATCTCGACCTTGTCCAAAGCTTTCACCATCTTCAAAGAGAAAACTGAAAAGAGATTAAAAAAAATTACTTTAATAAGCACACAAAGTCCAATTGTTTCTTCTAGAAAAAACAATTTAGAATAAATCATCAATTTCTTCATCAAAGAAAGAAATTTTAGACTGAATGGGTTAATAAAAAAAAAAATGTAACTGCTGGTTGAAATTTCACCAAACAATTCTCATTTTCAAATATATGGTGAGTGATTAAGAACACAGTATATAAATATCAAGCATTGTAGGAACACAAAAGCACGGTTTACACTCTTTGTTCATGCAGGTCCAACCCTAACATTACTCTCCTGACACTATGTAAATATGCTCCTGAGGAAGTTTCTATGTGTGGGAATGATAAAGGGAAGAAGAAAGAAAATCATGATGGTAACTTCTCAGGAGAAAGAATACTGAATGACAGATGTATGAAATTTGTTTAGAATTTGAGACAATTACTTTTGAGAATTTATATATTCTTCAAACCATTTATTCTTGCTCTTTCATCATCTTATTTCCTGATTTTCTACTTAATCCAACATGTGAGCAGGATAATTAAAGCTAATGTTTAAAAATCAGTTTAGGGGCCAGCCCTGTGGCTGAGTGGTTAAGTTTGTGGGCTCCACTTCGGCGGCCCAGGGTTTCGCCGGTTCGAATCCCGGGAACGGATGTGGCACCACTCATCAGGCCATGCTGAGGCGGCATCCCACATGCCACAACTAGAAGGACCGACAACGAAAAATACACAACTGTGTGCTAGGAGGCTTTGGGGAGAAAAAGGAAAAATAAAATCTTAAAAAAAAAGTCAGTTTAAGACGAGAAATAGCAGAGAACCAGTGGTCTATTAAATAATTAACCTAAAAAATTAACATGTGGGGAAAAAAAGATCAGCAGATGATTTCTATGGTTACCTACAATGATCAAATCTAGTCCTAAATCTAAAATTAACACTTAACACCCTGGTGGAAACTCAAGAGATCCAGGCTCAAACCCTTGTGAGTAAACAGGAAGAGCAATGGAACAGGGACCACTCTGGTCACCAGGGTTGTACTGTTAGTTAACTTCCAGGCTCATTTATCAGATGGTCTCCAAGATGTCAGGCAGTTTTGCAGATTTTTCTCAACAGTGACTTAGGACTGAGATGACCTCTAGGACAGGCAATGAGGGCACAGAGTACACTGACATTTACAAATATAATTGGAGTAGAAAATAGTACTTCATAATAGGCACACTAGTCTAGTTTATTAACCTCTTGAATATTGCTGTTCTGACTGGTGCACTTTTCATTTACTGAACATAAATTGTTGCAAGATGTTCCATAACGATAACTTTACTTCAAATAGGACATAAAGCAAATTACTTATTAAAAATAATAAAAATATTGGGACCAGCCCCATGGCATACTGGTTGGGTCTGGCGCACTCTGTTTTGGTGGCCCAGGTTCACAGGTTTGGATTTTGGGCGAGGACATGCACCACTTGTCAAGCCATGTCATGGTGGCATCCCACATATAAAACAGAGGAAGACTGGCAGAGATGTTAGCTCAGGGACAATCTTCCTCAAGAAAAAGAGGAGGAAGAGTAGCAACAGATGTTAGCTCAGAGCGAATATTCCACACACAGCGCGCGCGCACACACACACACACACACACACACACACACTAAATAATAATAAAACTATTGATGGGAATTCTGCAATTAGAAACTCCACACAAGAAAACAAGGTATTAACTTGCAATGGCTTTCATAATCATTTACTGGGAATGTCTACCAAAAGACCAAAACAAATTTAAAAAAATATTAATTCTAGGTTTTTTCATTTCCAAGAGAAGTTTTCTTTCCTTACTTGGGGAGTGTGCAGACAGGCGGCTTGGATCGAATGATCTCCTTGTTGACCAGCTCTTTCTCCAAGTCACCTCCAGCTAAACACCAAAGGTAATACACTTCTTCAATAGATCTTTCTGCCAGGTAATCACTGTTTATGTCTATTAATGGAAAATTTAAAAGATCGTAGCTATCACACTTTGTTTTTATTAAAAGACAATAGGCAACAATAGCTGACATTCTGAAAAAGTAAATACTGAATAACTTAGTAAGATTCCTTTTAGAATATTCATACTATTAAGTGCACAGAAGATGAAATGTAGATATACTACTGGATATACAGTTTCTTTGCGAAAAAGTGGCATTTTTACCCTCTATATCAGAGATACATGGGATATATATTCCACGTATGTATCAGATATACTGGGCTCTGTGGGAAAGGAACAAGGGCAGATAACTACTTGGGTAGACAACCAGCACAAACTGTCCATCCTTCACGCCTTGAGGCAACTGCTGCCTCTTCTGAGAAGCCTTCCTTGATGGCTCATGCAGGTTAGGCTTCCACTGTGCAATGTTCACATTGGCCTTCGTTCATCATAGTAATTGTGTGACTGAATGTCTGTCTGCCTCCCCATGAATGTCACCTGAAGATACAGTGTGTGGAACATAGTAGGACCTCAATAAATACTTGACTGAGTGAACATTTAGCAAATATCTCCTGCCATTACTTAGGTCATGATAACTTTTCAGTATAAGAGTAACTCCCTGGTGTCACTAAAACACACATTCTGAGAGTCATAATCTTCACAGAGGAATGGCAAGAGAAAAGGTGACATTCTCTTACAAACATGGAATATAATGGTATGGCCTTCCTACCAAAAATATGATTTTTTGGTTTTTGAGGAAGATTGGTCCTGAACTAATATCCATGCCCATCTTCCTCTATTTTATAGGTCATGTATAATAAACTACATGGAATATGATATATAAGTGTTGATATACAGGAAACTCCACTGGAAATTAGAAGACATGATTTTAGCATTAAGATTTGAGATGAAAATAGGACTCTGGTTTTCATAGTAATTTTTTTTCTTGGTGCCACTTTTTCTCTTCGATTCTTAAAGTTCTTGCTCCAAAGTAATTTAAATTTAAAGCATTAAAATGTTAGCTTAGTTATATTTTAAGCACCAGAATTCTCTCTTAATTTCCAGATAAGCATCCATGAAGTTTCACTAATGTAATATATATACTGTTAAATTCAAAACTGAAACTAGGATAAGGCTATTTCCTTTAGAAACAGGGCTTCTGTTACTGTCTATGTCTTATCTATCATTACCTTGACACAGCTGACTGATATCCTCAGGCAGAGTTAAATCAGCACATCTCAGAGAAGATGAAAACAGACTGGCAGGTTTGGTAAAGGGGGTGTATGAAGGTGACACTTCACTGAACACCTTGTCCTGCATTAATTCACTTGGGGTTGGCCTTGAGAAACACATTGAAATTACAGAGCACAAATGAAAGTCATTCATGACACACACTCAAGGGGATAGTTAAAAGTCTTAAATACCTCATTAGCACAGAAAATAATAAAGCTTTCCTCAGCAGAGTCTCGATGGATACCTTTATATAAAAATCAACTGACTGTAAGTAAATGCTGAATTTCTTACCTTTGTTGTGCTTTTTGCTCCTTATGATCTATCAAAGATTATTATATATGAGTGTCTCTTTTAGTTTTAGCTTGAGTCCCATGTACCTGCTTTACTGAATATCTTAATTAAATATTAACATTGTAAACTAATAATTCCTTTTGGTTTTCTTCCTACCATCTTATTTTAATACAGCATATTTACCCAAAACTATGCTTCTAATATCCATTCCACTTTTCCTAACAAATCTTGATAAAGATGTTTTTCTAAAGACAAATTAGAATACATTATTTTCAAATATTATACACTTAAGGAGTTAGGTACAACTGTGTGGCTAACAATGACATCATCAAATGAAAATAAATAATAAAATTTCTAATAAATCCTTTCATATTATCAACATTTACTAGCTTATCTCATCATTTATCCAAGTTCTTTGCTATAACACATACTGCCAATAGGCTTTTGGTTTTCATTTCTCTTACATCATTTGTGTCCAGGAATATCTACAGCCCATAATTTAGCTGATTTTCTAATTAGAGACTAAGAAATGAACTACTATGTTCTTTTGGAATATGCCAGTTTTAATTATTTTTCTTTGGTTATTAACATACAGTAAAGCCACACCTAAAAGTTACAATACTAATGTCAATTATGTATTACTATATATGTAAATATTCTTATTTAATCCATTAGTGTTATAAGAAAAAAAATCAACTACTTATATATGAAAGATCTCAGGTAATCCCAAGCCCTTAATAATATCAACCTGTTGGAAGGGTGAAAGGTGAGGCACCTCTTCAAAAGACCCATCACATTTTCAGGAAGCTCCTGGTAAACGAAGAGAGGAAAGAATTGTTTAAAATGACCCATTTAAAAATATATTTTACTCAAATGTTTGCTACTCCATGATGTTTTGATTTTTTTAAAGACGTCTCTATTTGGACTTTATACGAATTTATATTAGTTTGTCGCTCTGTGAAAAAGCAAATATCTACACAGAAATAAACAGCTTTAAAACAGCTTGCTATTGGATCCCAAGTATGCAAAACAAACACATTTTCAATAACAGATTAATGACAAACCTTTACAACGTCCAGACAACCGTGCTCTTCAGCCAGAACTATTACAGTGTCATCCACGCAGTCTGTAAAACAGAAACACTGTATGCATTAATGCTGCTTTTCCAATCTAACTAACTAGGAACTGAACTCTGTTTTTATTTAAAGTATTTTTAAAATTGTGTAATGCAGTTTTGGAACTTGGAATATTAAAAAGCTTGTGACTTTGTTACCTCTCCTTACATATTTTGATAAAAATAAAGGCTTCAAACACTAAACATTAATTGAATCGCATATACTGAAAGACAGCAGCTTAAATAGTGAGATAAAGCGTGATTCAAGGAGCTAAAGATTCTCTCCCATATACAAACACATTACTCTTTAGAAAGCCTTTATTTTTTTTTCATGATTCTAAGACTAATTTATTTTTATTATGTACAATTTGAAGAATGTACACACAATACTCTGGAGAGTTAAAGTGTACATTTAGTGTGTAGACCACATTTAGAAATCTCCAAGACTCCTTAATAGCTATATTATCACTCTTTGAAATTAAATGTGGTAAATATGGTAAAATTTTACACAATTTATAATTCATTATTATTTAACATTTATTAATGCTGTTCTGTACATATCCTTATTTGTAAAACCTATTAAACCTGGACACCAATCTCTCTTTTACACAAAGTACTCTATCACTGTTTTTCTCTCCTTTTTTTACCACGCATGCTTAATTTATTCCACTCTAAAGTAGATTACAAAAATTTTTATAAATTTAAACTACAAATTTTTGGATGTAAGATCCATGTAAAATATATGAGCTTGTTCTAAGGAAAATAAACATTCTTCTTCAGTCATCATTCACACAATTCATCAAACAGAAAGCTCAGAAGTGAAGATACACTGACTGAAGGAAAACTGCTTCAGAGCAGTGCAATCTTACATTCTCATATTTTGATTTCACAAGTTAGCTTAGCTTACTCGGCTAGCTCGTGAAGCTAAGATTATATCCATCCATGGTATAAATCCTTAGTGATTAAGGAAAGCTCTACCATAATATTTCAGAAGGCACTTCTTAAGCTGTCCTACTAATACTTAGAAAATTGAAGAAGGGATATTTCAGAGTATGCACTATTTTAGAACACATCCTTAATGTGTATGATTACTAATAGTCACTAAAAGTTATATTTATAGTTGAAGAATAATCAACAGCAAGACACTTACCCAATGTAAGCAAAAATTTTAGTCTTTCAGAAATATCCAAGCTCTGAAATAACTTTCTTCCCTAAATAAAATGGGAAAAGAAATTCTTGTTAACATTTACATCTTTTTTCCAGGGAGGCCTTTTTTTTTTTTTCAGAGATAAAAATGATTCTATCAGGTACCTCTACTTCTCTTCAGAGGTTTTATCAGATTTTAAAGTTAGCTCCATTGGGGACACATCATTTTAAAAAATGCTGCATAATATTTAACATTTCATGTATCTAAGGATCATTACATTCTAGTTTGATCTCAAGCATTCCTCACTTTTGAGACCCACATATACCTGGTTCTCTAGAGGGATTCCAGACCACCAGTAGTCTTATTGATTAAGAGACCAAGACAGCTCCTGGGAAAGATTCATATTACCCTCTCATTTGTCCATCTAATTCTACTCATATACCATGATATAGGCAGTCTGCGGTCTCCTTTAACAGACATTCCACAACACTCCTTCCTCCTCCCACAACACCTTAGATAACCATCCTTTGTGCTCCCATAGCAGCTGGTATATTTCTTTATTTTAAGACACATATATTATAGTTTCCTTATTAGTTGGCTTCAGGAGGCTCCTTGGAATGGAGTCCGGAATCAAACACTTATAACTTCAATGATTATGGGTTGAGTAACTCTTGTGAGCCAAGCTGGACTTTCCACCACCAGCTACACAAATTGGGCAAATTATTTAACCACCTGAAGTCTCATGGTTTTCATTTATAAAGTTGGAACATTAACTGTACATGCCACACAGGTTGCAGTGAGGGTTATGTATAATGTATAAAAAAGTGCTTAGCACTTTGTACCTAGAAATGTTTAATAAATGTTGGCTATTATTGTTTCTCTCATTTTAAACAAATTAAACTTATATGACCCTTTAAACAGACTTAGAAGGAGAAAGCTTAAGAAGATAGCCAGTCTTTATGTAGAGAAAAAGACACTCTGATTTTTTTTTAAATAAAGAGAGAGGAAAAAACTTTTTTAAAGACTTAGGAAATTAGAACTACAGGTGGAGAGATCATTGGAAAAAGCTGCCGTTCCTCTCTCTTCTCAATCTCTTACACTATCATATTAATCTTCTAAAAATGCAGGTTTGATTTCATCAATATCTTCAAAACTCTAAATGGCCCCCCATACCTTACATAACTAAATATAAACTTCTCAGTTTAGCATTCCAAGTCTCCTAGGATGTGGATCCAAAATATCTGTTCCGTCTAAATGCTTACTATTCATCATCCTGTGATGAAAACACACACACGAAGCAGTTAACTTTGATTACAGGGAACACACACTGCCTATTCAGGCCTACAGACTTGGACTCATGTTATTTCCTCACCAGCAATTTTTTCTTTGTGTCTATCAAAATTCTATATACACTTTTTTTCACTCTCACTCCTGAATGTTAACTTTGTAAGTTGAAGAATTCAAAATTCAACATTACTTTCTCTCAGCACTTTGATGGCATTGTCCCACTGTTTTGTTGCATCCACACTGCTAAGAAGTTTAATAGCAATCTAATTCTCATTCTTTGTAGGTAGTATGTCTTTCCTCTCTGGCATGTTTTAAGATTTTCTCATTGACAGTGACAAACACGTCAGAGCTTAGTAAAGGGAGCTTAGTGTGTTGGTTAAGAGTATATGTAGCTTTGGCTGCAGACTGATGGGTACAAGTCTGCTCAACTAGCTACTACTATGTAACTAGGACAGGTTGATTAACCTCTCTGTACCTTGATTGCCTAATCTGTAAAGTATAGATAATAATTAGATAAACTTTATAATGCTGCTGTATTGTTTGCGATAATAAATGTAAAGAGATTAGAAAAATACCTGGCTCTTGAAAAGTGCTCAATGAATGTTACCCATTATTTCATTTTCGGTTTTAGTGTAAGACTTCTAGGTACTTGTTGCTATTTGTATGTTGTGATTTATTTCACTTGCCTTGCAAGGTAATTGGTGGGTTCTTTCAAACTGAGGCCTTTCCTCTCTACTTCTGATACTACTAGAAGACAGACATTAGAACGTCTGGCTCTATCTTCCCTGTCTTTTAAAATTTCTGTTATACTTTGAATCTCTTTATCTCTTTGTGACATATTCTGAGAGAATTACTCAGCTTCATCTTCTACATTCAGTGTGTCCAGTTTCCTATGATCCATCTATTTAGTCCTTTATTTTGATAATTTCATATCTTTTTTCTTAAAACTCTTCACAGGTTCTTGCTCATTTCAGTAAATGTCCTTGATTTATAGTTTCTATAATTGTTTCATGAATGGAATTACTTCCTTTGTCTCTTGAAGAATACAAACACGTAAAGTCCTTTCAATGGTGTATATTCTTCTATTTGTTGTTTTTTTTTTTTATTGTAGAGGTCATCTTTAGATGTTTGGTGTTTCTTAGATATGTACTCCTCTTTTAATACAGAAATCCCCTGTCCATCTTTTGGACTATGGAAACTTCTGGGTGGCAGAGTGGCTGTACTGACTTTCCAGTGATACGGCAAGAGTTTCCTAGCAAAATGGTTTTGGCACACCTTCTCAACTATTTCCTTGGAATTTCTAGTGTACCCAAAATTCCCTCTTTCAGTTGGTGTGTTATTAATTTACATCTTAATATTTTATATTAAATCTAAAGGTTGGATGAGGTAGAGGAAGATTTGCGCTTATATTCAATAAGCCATCCTAAAACTAGTCTGTCTAAACTTTGAGTACCACTTAAAATGTCATGAAGCCCCAATGATGGAATATTTCATTTCTTGGAATTCACATAGCTCCCTGTGTTTATCTTCAAAGTTTATGGATTTTAATTAAATTACAAACTCTTTGACAATGTGTCTTAACCACAGTTTATTCCTTGTTGCATTTGTCATGATGCTATACACACAGCAAATACTCATCAACATTTGCTGAATTGAATTACTCATGTAAGACATACACAAGATCATCAGTGAAAAGTTTAGATATAGGTGATAGTAATAAAAAGGAAAAGCTATATACTTCACACTTATGCTTATGTATACTTTACATTTGCATTGCAATAAGATTTCTCATTTAGGCTATGATTTTAAACAAAAATGAGATTTATTATCATTTCACACTAATGAAAAGTAGGATGATCTAGACAAAAGATAGCAAAGAATCAGAAAATTTGGCATTTTCCCTTAGAAAAAGCAGTGCCAATATGTAAGTTATGATGTTATTATGAATATTTTAATATCAATAATAAAAGCTAACATTTATGAACTGTTCACTATGTAATACCCTGTACTAAGTACTTAATATACATTATTTCATTTAATTTTTCCAGCAACTTCACAATATAGATTTATAGAAGTGGAGCCAAAGCCTGGAAAAGTTAGGTTAGTTACCCTAAGTCATACAACTATACTGTGCAGCATTAGAATTCAAATCCAGTTCTCTCTGACTATAGAAGCTTGTCTCATAACTATCATACTTTAGCACCTCTGCTGTTGAATTAGTTCTTAACTACACAAAAAGAAGAAAATGTCAACTTAATTCTTAGATATGGTAAAAATCAATGAGCTAATGGTTTCAAGATTGACAGATTGTTATTTGTCTCCAAACTCATTCTCATCTTGGACATGACAAACTGTTAGTTGTCCCTCCAAATCCATTCTGATCTTCTTTCTCAATATTCAGGTGTCCAGCTAAAGACTACATTTCTTAGTTTCCCTTGTACCTATATGTGGCCACATGAGTAAATTGTAACTAGTCAAAAGTACAGAGTTGATATTTGCAAGCTTTAGCTCATCTTCTTAAAGACACTAACCATGAACTCACCCCTCTCCTTTGCCATGGCTAAAATGGTGACAAACACAGCAACTCTGGAAACCATACGTTGGGAATGGTGGAGCTATCCTGGATAGCCTAGGTCTCTGCATGACATGGTGGAACAGAGCCCACCCTACCCTCTCTGGACTGTGACACGAGGGAGAGCAACATCCATGTTATTTCGGCACTGCATTTTTAATTCCTTTGTTCCTAAAAGCAGCTTAGTCTTTATGCTAATAAATATAGGGGATACCTGGGGAAGGTCTCGTAAAAAGCCAGTTCAACTACACAGTGAGTCTTATAGGAAACATAAGAGAACAGGAGAGGAGAAGGCATTTAAGGAAGAAAGCATACCACAGAAGGGAGAGAGAGCATGAACATACCAAAGAGGATAAGCAGTTTCAGTGTAAACATTTCTAAAAATGTTTAATCTTTTACACTTAGTACAGTATAAATTTGTTATGCTTAATAAAAGTGTAAGCATTTCTAGAGACACCAAAACAATATTTACACTTAGTAAATTTACATTTACACTTACTAAAAGTGTAAGCATTTCTAGATACTAAATTATTATGCAAATAGTCAAACAGAATTTTTTTGAAAGTCAAATTGAGATTTAAGCCTTTTCTCCTCATATCTAGTTATTTTGCAAAACAAAAACATATTATTAATAAATAGCTTTCCTATCCCAAAATATTATTCTAATAAACACACAATTCTTTTTATTAGTTTAATATTTCTTTATACATACCATGCAAAGCTCAAATAAAATGATTCCAAGAGACCATACATCTGATTTGGGGCCAGAAGGCAACGGTTTTCCATTTGGCACATGATCAGTCGTTTTGGAAATCCCTTGTGCAATTACCTCAGGCGCCAAGTACGACGGATACCTATAACAACATGTTAAAAACGAATAATCACTATGAACGACAAAGGGGAAAGAAGCAGTAGTGCATTTTTACTGTCAGTATGGTAAGCTCTATGTAAAAGTGTGATTAAATTAATGCCTCTTACTGGGAAGGCTTCTAACTGACCACCGCAACACAGGCCTTGACATCCAGGAATCACAAGCGAGCCTCCAAGTCGCAGCGATTCTGAGACGACCACATCTCTCCGCGGCATGAGCCCCGCTCTCTGCTTTCCTCTGTGTTCTACACACTGCCTCAGTGCAGACTTCTAGGTTTTCAGGGGTTTTTCCTTCCTCCTTACTACCCGTCTTCTCTTTACACTTAACTACTGTTTAAAGTACATTTTATCTTTGAAAACAGCCCTTATTCTTTTGAGTAGAAGGAATGCCAAAATCTGTAAAAATACATAAATTGAAAAGTAAGACTCTCCCATCTCTGTACTCTGCATGTCACCCATACATATGATATATAGATAAGTGGGCCACCTGTTACCACTGCCCCACAGGGAGCAGGCTGCACATCCTACTTTGTGCCCCTGCTCTCACTTAAATATATTTCAGAGATCATGCTATAAAAGTAAGTACAGATCTGCCTCATTCTTTTTGAAAACTGCCAATAATTTCATTGTATTGATGCACTTAATTTATTTTACAAGCTCTGAAGAAGGACATTTTGAAAGTTCCACTGTTTTGCTACCACAAACATGCTGAAATGAACACAACTCTTCCATTTCCCACAAACGTATGTACACATGACAAACAAATTCCTAGACGTGGCACTACAGGGTCACAAGGTATGTGCGTTTTAAGTTTTGACACATATCCCCAGGTTGCCCTTTCAGCTTGTATCAGTTCATATTCTCATAAGGGTGCCTATTTCTTCTCAGTTCCACCAAGAGAACAAGTTTTTCTGAAAACTGTTTTAGTAAATATTGAGTAAAAACAAAGACTATTAAATATGAGTAATGTATAAATAAAGTGGCAACAAACACCCACGCACCCACCTAATGGTTTAAGTAAAGCACATCAAATTAGCACTCAAGGTCTCTCTCTTCTCCCTAACTGCATCCCCCTGTTATTCCCCAAAAGGAACAGACAACTGCAATTTTTGTGTTTATAACTCCTGCACATTTCTTTATAGTTTTACCATATGTTTGATTCCCTAAAACGTATATTGTTTACTTAAACATATTTCTGAACTTTCTATTACTGGAATTATGCGGACAGTATTCTTTTGTAATTTGCTTTTAAAATCAACATGATTTATTTGAAAGAGTCATCCACATCATTGCATGTAGTTTTCAGTCATTAATTTTTACTTCTATTTTATGAATATATCATAATTTATCAATCCTAATGTCAATGGGCATTTGTTTCCTGTTTTTATATATTATAAGCAATCTTGCTCATAATACTATGTATGGTGTACATCTGAAGTTTCCCCAATCATAATCCTGGGATTGAATTTCTAGGCCACAGGAAATGTGCACTTTCAACTTAATGGTATTAAGTTAAATGTTTTTTGAAAGAGGTTGTACCAATTTATACTCCCATCAGCAATGTATTACAGTTCCTATTGTTTACTTCTTCTCCAGCACCTGTTGGACAGCAGTAACAGACTTTCTAATGTTTGACAACCTGGTGAGTGAGACCTATCTATCACTGTGGTTTAATCTGCATTTCCTTGATAATTAAGGAGACTGAGGCATATCCTCATGCGTTTATTAGCCGCTTGGGTTTGCTACTGTGTGAAGTGCCTGTTCAAGTCTTTCGTCCGTCTCTCCAGTAAGTTGTTGTGCTGGAGTCCCCAAGCCCATTCCCGCATTTTGTGATTCACTGGAAGGACTCATGGGACTTAGCACATAGATGTATTCACAGCCGAGTTACACTGTGACAGAGCCAGGATGCATAGCTGGATCACAGGGGAAAACGACACAGAAGGAATCTGGAGGAATCTACATGCAGGCTTCCTTATGCTTTCCCTCCTATCAGAGGCCACACAGAACACTTCACCCAGCAACAAAAACATACTAACATGTATGCAAGGCTTCTGGCCAGGGAAGCTCAGTGTACAAGATTTTTATTGGGAACTGGTCATAAAGGCACCCTCTGCCTAGCACACACCAAAATTCAAGACCCCTAGAAGGAAAGCCAGCATTCAGCATAAACTGTACTCTTTGTACAAACAGGCAGAGTAAACCCATCTTATCAGTTAGGGAACGAGATCAAACACTTTTGAAATTCAAGTTCCCAGGTGCTAGCCAAGGACCAACGATCCAAGCAAGACTTAGTTCCTAAGCATAGCAATCTCATGCCTGCCACATTATCCCTTTCCTTCACAGTGGTTGATATTTTAATTATTGGGGGTTTTTTTTGGTGAGGAAGACTGGCCCTGAGCTAACATCTGTTGACAAGCTTCCTCTTTTTGTTGAGGGAGACTGTTGCTGAGCTAACATCTGTGGGAATCTTCCTCTATTGTGTATGTGGGATGCCACCTCAGGATGGCTTGATGAGTGATATGTAGGTGCACACCCAGGATCTGAACCTGCGAACCCTGGGCCGCTGAAGAGGAGCATGTGAACTTAACCAGTGCGCCATCGGGCTGGTGCCTTTAATTACTGTTTTGAAAGAGTTCTTTATAATTCTGGATATGAATTCCTTTTTCAGTAATTATGACTTGAAATACTTTCTAGCACTTTGTGGCTTGCTTTTTCATTTTCTTTATGGTATTTTCATTTCTTTACGGATTTATGAATGAGAAGTTCTTAATCTTTCAGTCAAATTAATCAATCTTTTCTCTTATACTTAGTGATTCTGTATCTTGTCAAAATGATCTGTTATTTTCTAAAAGTTTGATAGTTTAGCCTTTCATATTATGTTTCTTAGTCCACTTACAATCAATTTTTCATATGATGAAAGATAAAGGTACAAGCTTACCGACAGTCCTATGTGGATAATCAACTGAACTCTGTTTCATTTACTGAAAACCATATTTTCCCCCAACTAGTCTATAGTGCCAGCTCCCATCACAGATCAAATCTCTACATACACACTGGTTTGCATCTTGGCTCCCTATTTTGTTCCACTGGTAAATTCACCTAATGCTGTACCATTATACAACGTTAGGTCTGTAATGTTACATAAATAATTACTGATAACTGCTAAGACAAGCCCCTTCAAAACACAGACTGCTTTAATTTCTCTTCAGGAGTGTCTGGGCATTTTCAGACGTTTGTTCCATATATACAGTTTAGAACTATCTTGTCAAGTTCTCTCTCTCACACTCACATTCACAAACACATACACAGTTGGAATTTTTATTGAAATTAGCTCAAAGGCAAAGGCTGAGGAGAAGTAGCATTTTTCTGATATCGACTCTAACAATCTATGAACATGATATCTCATATTTATTTAGGTCTTTCATAACGTCTTTCACAAGAGATTTATATTTTCCACAGAGGTGCTGAACATACTTGATTAGAGTCTTTTGAGGTATTTCATATTTTTTGCTGACGTGTAAATCATTTCTTTGTATTAATTTTGTATACAGCAACCTTGCTAAACCCTAGTCATTTATGGATTTGAGCTGTCTGTAGATCTCCAGATCGGTCACATTTAACTGATTTGTTTGCACTGACACTTGTGTTCCCTCCTTTCCATGCTCCCAGCTTTCAGTGCTTTTGCTGCCTTGTGTGCTGACTGATAACTCTGTCCAATATCAAAGAAAAGTGATGATAGCTCACATCTTTGTCTTGATCCTAATATTTTAAAAAACACTTTTAACCTTTCACTATTATAATTTCTTTGTGAAAAATTTTTATCAGTATTAATCATGAATAAATTTTTGAATACCTCAATTGTATCTATTACAAAGAGAGCATATGATTTTCCTCACATTAATTAACTTCCTAATGTTTAACCAACCCTAACCCTAAAATTCCTGGGATTTTTGTTTCTAGTAATTTCACCAAAAAATGATAATTTTATCTCCTTTCCAATTTTTATACATATGTGATTTTTTTTCCTTGTCCAACGGTATTCACTGGGATCAGCAATACATTGCCAAATGACAGTGGTGTTAATAAATATTTTGTTTTGAACCTGCTAACTTTTGTTTTCATTATGTTAAGGAAGTAGTCACACAGTCCTTTTGCATTAAATTTTTTTTTTTTGAGGAAGACTGTCTCTGAGCTAACATCTGTGCCAATCTTCCCTCATTTTGTATGTGGGACGCCGCCACAGCACGGATTGATGAGCTGTGTGTAGGTCCACGCCTGGGATCTGAACCCACAAACCCCAGGCCACCAAAGCAGAGTGCACGAATTTAACTGCTATCTCACTGCGCTGGCCCCCCCTTTTTTTTAAAGGTATGGTTTTTGGTGAGGAAGATTGTCCCTGAGCTAACATCTGTGCCAATCTTCCTCTTTTTTGTTTTTCCTCCTCAAAGCCCCCCAGTATGTAGTTGTATATTCTAGTTGTAGGTCTTTCTGGTTGTGCTATGTGGGATGCCACCTCAGCATGGGTTGAGGAGCAGTGCCATGTCTGCACCCAGGATCCTAACTGGTGAACCCTGGGCTGCTGAAGTGGAGCAGGTGAATTTAATGACTAGGCCACAGGGCTGGACCCCAGATATGCTCAGTATATTTCTGGTAAAAAAGAAAAAAAGAGTATTTCCTGACAAAAATGCCAGTTAAGGGACCGGCCCCATGGTGTAGTGGTTAGGTCTGGCACACTCTGCTTCAGCAGCCTGGCTTTGCCAGTTTGGATCCTGGGTGTAGACCTATACCACTCATCAAGCCATGCTGTGGTGGAAACCCACATACAAAACAGAGGAAGACTGGCAGAGATGTTAGCTCAGGGCTAATCTTCCTCAAGCAAAAAAAAAGAGGAGGACTGGCAACAGATGTTAGCTCAGAGTGAATCTTCCTCACCAAAACGAGAGAGAGAAAAAAAAAAGAAATGCCCGTTAGGCTTGCCTAACATTGCTTCCTGGCTTTTTGGCTAAGATCAAGCATAGGACTGCCTTATAGACAAGTTAAAAAGCAGAGGGTACATGAGTACTAGACTTATTGACGATGACTAAATTTGAATCTCACTGCCTAGAAACAAAAGGAATAAAAATAGCTTTAGAAGAGAAATGAAAAGTAAGTGGGATTTTGTCCTGCTTATTGCCTATGTGCATGCCTGTTCTTCATTTGTCGTGAGATTTGGTCATGAGCACACCTAACCAGAATTTTCAATCCAATGACATTAGATTCTTGTGCCACCCTGCAATAATGACTGCCATCAAAATGCACGTAAGTATATGTAACGTCTATGTCTGGTGGTCCAGTGGGTAGAATTCAGCACTCTCACCCCTGCTCCTCAGGTTTGTTTCCCAGTCAGGGAACCACATAACCCATCTGTCGGCTGTCATACTGTGGTGGCTGTGGGTTGCTGGGACACTGAAAGCTGTGCCACCAGGATTTCAAATACCAGCAGAGTCACACATGGTGGACAGGTTTCAGTGGAGCTTCCTGACTAGAGAGACTAGGAAGAAGGACCTGGCCACCCACTTCCAAACTGGCCATGAAAACCCTATGAGTAGCAGTGGAGCATTGTCTGAAACAGCGCCGGAAGGCACGAGAATGACCCAGGAAGACTCCACTCTGCTAGGAGTCGGAATCAATTCGACAGCACTAACAAACATCTATGTAATATATGTGATGCAGGCACTCAAGTACTACTTCCATTTCTCTTCCTGTGTTTTTCTATAGCCACCTAATCACACCAGGATTGCCACTACTTACTATTTACATGTAAAATACAAGTCAATTAAGTCAGAGAATATAACAACTTCAAATGGGTAAATTAGGTTTTTAATTGCTTTTTGTTTTAATACAATGATGACAGTGATATTAACAATTTGCTCCTGTGTTGCTCTCATACATAAATTTGTACTGTGTCATTTTACCCTAAGGTGATCATCCTGCTCTTCCAAACGAATGTGTGAAATCTCTGGAGACAACTGAAGTCTAATGGAAAAAGCACTGGACTTGACAGTATAACATCTGCTTTCTAATTTCAGTCCTAGCACATATTCTATATAGGACTTGGGTTCCTTAATTTGTAAAATAGGAATAATAATGCCTACCTCACAAAACTGTTATGAATATTAGTGAATATAGAAAGATGTTTTATAAAAATGGAAAATACGACACAAATGCAATGTTGTATTTTTATCATCAGCACCACGATATATCTAGAAGGTGAACTGTTCATTTTTAATCTGATTTCCAGCACATCTAACCCCAGAATAATAGTATGGGTAATTAAAAGTCAAGCAATACTATAGATAAATTGTTCTTCCTAAAACTTCTGACTGGTGATCTCCAGAAGCACAGAGGTGAGCCTTGCTCTAAAAATTCTCATTTCCCTTCTAATCTAAGACTGATTGAATTAATTCATAAAAATAATAAGCTCTAGGATTGTTTTTTAATATAGATTATCTCCTTTCAACAAGAGTCTCTTCTTTAGCAGAGCATTTTAATACTTAAAGAAAATTACCAGAACTCTGTAGTGAATGTGACTGGAGAGGTAAATGTAAGCGGCTTTCATCATCTGTTTCATGATTTAACAAGGCATTAAGCTACTGGCCAGCTGAAATGAACGTCCAATTTCTAACTCTTGACACTATTTTGAAACAGATGTTAACATTTTACTTTGTTATTCCTTAATATTTGTCTTTTAAATCAACTGCAAGCTTCTTCCGGTGTAAATATTTTCTTTCATGCCTTAGCTGTTTGATCACTTTATTTTTCCTGGCTAACGTTTCACATTTTGCTCTTTGATACTGTCTGGTCAGACCCTTACGGTCTAAGACTTCAAAGTACGCCACACCAAATGACACACAAGACCACTTCTAGCCAAGTATTTTAAATTCAAACGTAATTCTTCAAAATGCTTGATGTCCTTGAAGAAAAATCACTTCCTTTCTTCTTTTCATCGATAAAACCTAAAGCACCTTTAAGTAAAAGGTAAAAAAATTCATTTCTGTTTCTATTATGTTTTTGGAGTTCTGCCTCACACAAACTGATTTAGATAAAATGAGGAAGCAGCAGAAATCACATTTACTACAGCTCCTTAAAAGCTACTTCAAAAGGCAATTGTCACATATGACAAAGATATTAGAGCTTTACCATGAACTCATTTTTTTAACATTCAAAAGGGTTTTTCTTTTTAAAAAATAAAGTGTAGGCTCTCTTTACAAAATATTGTTTTCATGCTTGTGAAAACAACTGTTTGTTGTCTATGACCACAAGTTTTGGTATGCAAAATTACAAGACTGTGAATTTATGTACCTTAGTAAGTAGGCCGTCAAAACGGAAAATGTTCGGGGCTGGCCCAGTGGCACAGCGGTTAAGTTCGCATGTTCCGCTTCCCCGCAGCCCGGGGTTTGCAGGTTTGGATCCCGGGTGCCGATGTGGCACTGCTTGGCACGCCATGCTGTGGTAGGCATCCCACATATAAAGTAGAGGAAGATGAGCACAGATATTAGCTCAGGGCCAGTCTTCCTCAGCAAAAAGAGGAGGACTGACAGCAGTTAGCTCAGGGTTAATCTTCCTCAAAAAAAAAAACCCCACAAAAACGGAAAATGTTCCCATTAAGCAGTTTAGTGAGCTTCTTGAGAACAGGAACCTATCTTATCATTCTTGTATATCCAGCAGCCAGAAGATAAGGTGCTCAAGAAATATTTTCTTAATAAATAAAGGAAGGAGTGACTCAATTTAAGATTACCAGCTATGGCCTAACTAGCAAAAATTTTAGGTAAGAAACCTACAGTCTAACTTATAAAGCTAAAAGAGTAATTTATGAATGAGACTTTTTTAAGTTTTTAAGCAATGTTCACCTGCAGAAACACACTCCGTGACTCCAAACCATAATTCCCAGTCATGGAGTGACAGAATGATTCCAGAGAGTCCAAAGAGCCACACACGAATGGATACTAGTAAAACAATCACATGGCAAGTGAAAAACAGGACTAAGGTCTCTGGATTAGGTAATAGTATTGTGCCCATTTTAATTTCCTGATTTTGATAACTGTTCTGTGGTTATATAAGAAAATTCCTTATTTTAGGAAATACAAACTTAAGCATTTATGGGTAAAGGCCATTATATGCACTAATTACTCTGAAATGATTAAAAAATATTTATATACACATACATATACATGTATAAGAGAAAAGAAAAAAAGCAAATATAGTGAAATGTTAACATTTGGGGAATATGAGTGAAGGCTATAAAGGAATTCTTTGTACTATTTTGTAATTTCTGTGTTTCTAAAATAACGTCAAAATGAAACTCTCAAGCAATAAAAGAATTATAGTATTAAAATGTTTAAAAAGTAACCACAACAAATGTAACACAAAAATCTACAGCAAAAGCACAAAATTGAGTTCAAGATAAACTTTCATTCCTTTCCTAGAGGCCAACAGCAATCTGGAATTTCACATCAGAAGTGATCAAACAAACGTCTCCAAACTTAAACACAGACTTTCAGGTGGAGAACCTCTGACATCCACAGTGACTTCACTTGAGTCTTACTATACAATTATAGCTTAGAGAAGAGGGAATTAACCTTAGAAACAATAGAACATAATATGAGAGTGATCTTTCTCAGTCTTTTGAGGAACACACATTATCACTAAATGAGAATCTGGTCAGCCTTCTTGCCTTAAATTTACCTAATTCCGAATGAAATAGAATTAATGGGTAAGCATTACAAGGTCAAGAAGGTCAGTAATCTATTAGCTTCTTGGCCAACTCAATGAAAGATCAATATCAAGGATCTTTTGGGTGCTGGGAAAATCTCACTGTCTACTCTTTTATTAATAAAGAAAAGCCAGTTTTGTATCAAAAAGTACTATCAGTAATAATTAACAAAATATGCACTATATCAAAGATTACAAAGTTTAGGACAGAACTCAGGAAAAAAAGAAAACATATTCTTACCCAATTGGGAAATCAACATCATCACCATGAGCTGTCATATGATAAAGTCCAAATTTAGCCAATTTAACATGTCCCTACAATAATAAAGGTAAAAAAAAAATCACTATGAATTATTTTAATATTATTGGCAGGAACAGATTATCATTATATATTCTATAAATAAGGAAATCATCATATAGTCAAATACATTAAGAAAAACATTGTATTTTATAATTTTATTAAAAACTATTTGCCAATGTTTGAAGTCTACTTTCTATCATTACAAATATATACATGTATATGCATACATATATGTACATATATACACACGCATATATTTTTATGTATCAATGACAAATAACATTTAAAAAATTTTTGCTGTTTATATCTTCCAAGCTTTTTGACAAAGCCAAAAAAGCAAAAATATTCTTATTTGTCTTGAACCCCTGCTTAGAATATTTTGTGGTAATTTTCACAAAAGAATTTTTTTGGGGGGGTTGCAAGTCCATTCATAATATTATAACTTAACCCTGACATGGGAGTTCTTAACTTGAAAAGATGAGTTCACAGATCATCAAGATATTACTGAATCTGCTAGATTTCCAACAAGCTTTATATTGTTTGAGAATGACCACAGTATCACAAAAGTGAGATTCTTAATAAACTGCAAATATAAATTTTATAGATCTCTTAAGTTTTTCCCCTTTTAGATGTTTAAGACTTTAAAAAATGAAGTCAATTTTAAAGTTGGCTCGTTTTATCTCAAGAACTTTATTTCCCAGCATTACAAAATGTTTATATTTTAAAACAATTCAGATTAGATAGTCCACTGTTATAACTATCAAATTAATGAGCACCATTTTGTCATTTGTGATTTTTAATACCATAGTGTAACAGTAGTGAAAGTTTGGAAGACAATCAGAGAAGAAAATAATAATCCTACTACTACAGAAAATAATTCTCCTCCCAAAATTCCCTCAAAACTATTTTATATGCCTATGAAAGAGAATGAAATCATGATTAGTCCTGAAAATATACCACCTTGCTACCCATAATTCTCTTAGAGGGTTGACTAGCTGCTGCTTAGTCTCCCATAAGATTTCCATGTAGAGAAGCAGCACTCCAATAAAAAGGTATAAAAACTGACAAATAAAGAAGGCAAGTGGGGAATAAAGAAAAGAAGAGGAAATAGGGAAGGAGAAGAACCAAGAGGAGAAAATATAATGCAGTTGTTCTATGAGAAAAATATTCAATAGAAATAGAGAAGTTTTCTTAAGATGAAAACAAACTCAGAGAAGGGTGGAGTGGGAAGCTACCATGCATATCTTTTAGAAAATGAGTGAAAGGAAAAACAAAATATCAAGTTAGAAAATGAGTCTTAGGAAAAAAAGCAATGCATGTAAAAGACATGGATTTATATAATTTAAAGGTACTTCTTTTTTTCTAACAACCACATCACTTTCATATAGTCTTTTCATTATAAATATTCTTAAAACATATTTTTATTCTACAGTCCCTCTGATTAACTGAGTGGGCCTGACTTCAGTAGCTTCCAACCTCAAATAACAAACACATATTGAATAAACTATTTGACGATTACCTTTAGGTCCAAAAGGATATTATGAGGAGACAGTGCCCGGTGCACTATACCATGTTTGTTCATATACTGCAAGCCCTGAAGTACCTCAAACGCTATACACAAAACCTTTGAATAGCTATAAAGAAAACAAAAAGTCACAGATCAACAGATCAGTTACAAAGCAGATACAGAACCTGTTTTAAGGAATAAAATGAGGTTTAGTGATAAAATTCAAAGAGTTATATTTTCATTGTTACTCCTTGATTCAGAGAAAACAGAATCTATACATTTTCTAAAATATTCACTTGTGCATATTTTGGATTTTCTAATTACAGGAGCATTAATCTGACAAAGATCCTACAATTCCCTAAAGGCTATTCCAATGGCAGAATTTATTCTTCCAGGAAGGAAGTTTAATTTTGTTGGTGTCCAATTGACCTTCTGCAGGTTTGACTTTGCCAAATTATTAGGAAAGTTTCAGATATATGGCAGAACTAAGTCAATGTAAACCACCTCTCCTGCTCAAGGCAAAATACCTAAGTACCTGACAAACAACTATAATATATTTTATGGAGATAGACACGAGCCCAATTTCCATATAAATCCACAAAGCAACCTCCAGCAATTTATGATTTATCAAATATCTCTCTTTAATACTTACCCTATTCTCTCTAAGCCATCTTCCACAGGGATGCCCAGCTTCTTCTTTCTCTCCCTCCCTTCCTCTCTCTCTCCTCCATTTTTTTTTTTTTTTTTTACCAAACATCATTCATGTACGAAGTTAGGAATAATATACAGAAAAGTAGGGAAGCCCAATTCAAATCCAATCCTCAAAATCACCAATATTAACATTTTGGAATAGATTTCTTTTCTACTCATTTTTTGATATTTTAAATTAGAGTTTTAAAACTTAAATTACTATCTGCAGGTAACCACTACAAGTAATTTTTAAAAGAGATATAAATAAGCTAACAGTGGCGATAAAATGGAATTATAAAAAAATAGTCAAACCCAAAGCAAGCAGAGTAAAAGGAAAAAAGAACAAAGAACAAATGGAACAATTAGAAAACAACTAAAAGATTTTAATTTGGATATATCAACCATTATATTAAATTTAAATGGTCTAAACTCACCAATTAAAAGATAAGGATTGTCAGATTGGATAAGAATTAAGACTCAATTATACTCAAGCTACAAGAAACCCACATTAAATAAAATTGTAAGTTAAAAGTAAAAGGATGGAATAACAGATCACTGATTGTCAAGGGCTGGAGTTGGGGGGATGGGTTGACTACAAAGGAGTATGAGGAAATTCTGCGTGACAGAACCGTTCTATTCTTGATTTTGATAATAGTTACATGACTGCGTTTGTCAAACTGATTGAACTGTACACTAAAAATGGTAAATTCTAAGGTATGTAAATTATACCCCAACAAACCTGATGTTAAAAAAAAAGTAGGCTGAATAAAATTTTACAAAAAGAATAGTTGCGTATGACTCTCAATTAAAAATTCTAAATTAAACCATGAAAAAGAACCAAGGATGAAAAGCTAAAATCCTTCTCTCCTCTCATCCTAGTCTGACTTTCCAGAGGTAACCACCCTTAGCAGTTTGTCTTCGATTCTTCTGGTGGCTAAACTTTTCTTTAATATAATTAACTCTTCACTACGCAAGATGATGTAATTAACATACTTTTGCGACTTTTCTATCTTCCTTTCCCACCTCCTGATTTTTATCAGTTACCTTATTTTTATATTATCACATTTTATAAGTGAGATAAAAGAAATCTGCATTCCTTCCTTGAAAGCTACACAAGTCAACCATACATAGTATGGCATACAGTGATTAAGAGCTAAGGAGGAAACATGGGGAAGAGAGAATGTTGGGGAGCAGGTTACTACTAGACGTAGAATGTGGTCAAGGAGGTCCCACTGAGGTGACGCTTGTGCAGAAATCTGAAGGAAGTGAAAAAGACACGCAGCTCTCTGGGAAACGTGTGATTCAGGCAGAGGGCAGAGTAAGTTCAAAAAAGTGCAGTGAAGCCACTATGCATGCAGTAGAGAAAGCAAGGGTAAGAAGGTAGGAGACGAGGCGGTCAGAGGTCGCAGGGAGCCAGGGCACAGCAGGCCACCTAGGCCACTGTACAGCCTTTGGCTTTGACTCTGAGACACACAGGAGGTGACTGGCACACGGCTGCACTATGATTAGCACTTAGTCACTGTGGAACTAAGCAGGGAAGGAAACATAAACCTAAGCCACTCAACCCCTAGCTCTCAAGAGAAAATGTCTGTCATCAGGATTTAATGGACACTATAACGTTATAATTATACACTATTCACCAAGGTTATCATCACTGCTGTCATTTTTTATACCTCATATTACTCTTTTTGTGTTTTTTTATGTAGCTAGAATATAGCCATGAGGAAGTTTTTCACAAGGGTGGCATGAATGGGACATTTTAAAGCATGGCATGTCTTAAAAAGTCCTATTCTTGCCCTTGGACTTGGGAAGAATTTCTCGACTGTCTTCACGTGTTCCTCCTTACGGCAGGAAGTCTAAAGGCAGTCTGACTCTAATTTTGCTGTAGATATTCTGTCATTCCTCTTCGGAAGCTTTCAGGATTCTTATGTACTTTATCTTTAGACTTACAACATTTTAGCCCAATGTGTCTACAGTGTGGGCATTTGCACATTTGTGCTAGTAAGCATTAGGTGTGCCTTTTAATCTGAAGTTTCCCGAGTTCCATCAACAGAGAAACATTAACAGGAAAGTAGATCTGTCATGTCTGATGATTTTCTCCCTCCACTGTATCTTCGGTTGGAACTTTTAGCGGGCTGATGAAAACTGAATCTATTCTTTACACCAACTTTCTGCTTTACTTGCTAGGAGCATGGCCTTTAGCTCTATTCATCATGTTATTTAATTTCCAGCATCTCTCTTCTTTTCTCTGGCTGTTCCTTTTTAATAAATCCGCCGTTTGGTTATGGATACATTACTCTTTTCAGTCTCTTTAAGGATATTTATTAGAATTCTTTTAATTTAGGAAACAAAGTGTGTTATCTTCATTTCCTCTGGAGTAAGTGTTTTTTTTTTCTCCCTTGGCTCTTTTTCTCTCAAACAATTTTTTCCCACAAATGTCTGATAACCCCTGGTTGTCAGCCATATTTTAAAATAAAGCAACAAATTGATATTCTCCATGAAGTGTGTAAAAAAGAAACAATAAAAGTTATTATTTATAAAGAATGCTTCAAGTGACCTGTAAACTATTCCCCTTTATTAAATAGTGTCTCCCATTTTAAAGTGCCACAATAGCCAGTCTTAAGCAAACAGGGAAGGTGTGAAACAAGATCAATTTGGAATTAACAGAGTTTTCATAAAAATCTTCAAAATCTAAACCAATTATGTAAAGGAAAGATTCCAAACTTTAAAACAACTACAATTACATTGATAAATATGTGGGCATGAAAGAATGCAAACCCCTCCCCTCTGAAAAACAGAGGAAAACTTTCCTGGAGATTGATTAACTAATAAAACATAACCACCTAGTTTTCTGAGCTCACCTGGCTCTGAGTCAGCTTTAAAGGAGTAGTCTCTCTGGGCCTTTTTCTCTTCCTCTCTTTCTCTAACACACACACACTTTAAAAATCTTAAAAGCTGATGTCATACTCAGTTGTGACACTAGAGGACCTCAGTTGCACACTACTTCAATATAGATGTCTTTCTCATGAAACTCAAACCAAACCTTTAAAGTGATTTTTCCATTAAACCAGTTCTGAAACAGCTGAACACAAAGATTCCATGTTCTACTTTCTCGACTTGCTTTTGCTGATTGTAAGACATAATTGGAAAATACTTGCATATCAAAAAGCATATTCATGCTATTATCAAACCAATGAGCATACACACTGAAATAATTTTAAAAATCCAAACATATACAGCTGAAGCTCATGACATACTTTTCTTAGCTATTACCTGAGACTACATATGAATTAGCTAATGGACTGAGTACTCTTCAGTTTAAATTACACAGAAAATCGATTTACTTTTCTGTTCTTTTGTACTCTTAGATTTTAATTAGATTAATAAAAGATTAGATTAATAAAAAATGTCTTTAACTTAGATCATGAAATCTTTTTAAAAATTATTTTGAAGTAGCTAATGAAATTATAATACAACTACAAGGTAAAAAAATCGTAAGTCCAGTAGCAGTTAGTATGTTACAGTTTGACTGAAAACGGACTCTAGAAGGAGAGTTAAGAGAATGGGATTCATACAATTGAAAAAAAAAAAAAGACGTCAGGCAGGGGACAACAGAACTTTACCCTACACAACTCCCAAGTCAGACTCTTGTTCGTAGAGAAATCCATTACTAATCTGGAAAATGTAAATTAAACTTCAAGTCAGAAAATATGCTCTTCCTTCTGAAATTTTCAGTTACTACTGTTACTCTTAGAGATCGGAGGGCACATTTACTTTGTTACCATTGTCCCTGACATCCTAAAGTTCAACGCGTGTAAGGATCCTAGGTGATTACAAACACACAGATACGACTAAAAGGCAGCTTTCAAAATAAAATGATTAATAATTTCTAATAAAGCAAGATACTTTCATTTATACTCAAATGCACCAATTAAGTGGCTATTAGTTGCTTGGTACTGTGTTTTTAGGTCCCTGTGTTTCCAGGCTCCATGGATACCACGAGGAAGAACTGATTTCTACAATGAAGAACCCTATGGTATAGTTGGAAAGACAGATTTATAAACTGACAATTTTAATACAGTTGAATTCCACAGAATTTCAATATAATTATAACTCAATAATTAAGATAGCAGATGAAAATTAATCATCCTTTTCCTCTGTCTTAAGAGGAAAACATGAAAACTTATTTACTATATTCATGACACCAAAATGGACCTACAAAAATCATAAATCTTGGGAAAGATTAAAAACTAAAAGAGAAAAAAATATCACTACCATCACCACTGCAAGCAAGAATAAGTATCGATAGTTTCTAGACATGAGTCAACTTGTTCATATTTGGATTCTGAACATGGTTTAATGAATTTTAAATCTATTAGGTTATTATTATCAGGTTACAAGAATATTTTACTTGTCACTTTCCAGATGTATTACAAA